TATAGCAGAGGATGCTACCTATGTGTAAATCCTCCCAAAACTTAAGCCTTTAAATTCTACTGCACAGGAGCTGTCAGAAAGCAATATTTTGTGAGCTACAGATTCCAATAAAACTCACTCTGAGGTGATGAAGCCTTCCTTGGTAGCCTGAGGACTGATATATGAATAATCTGCCAGCATTATGCTGTGTCACTTAAATATTCCTTTGGAGATTTGTCAGAAGGAAATTTAAGTAAAATTAAAGTTCAAATGGAAATGAAAAATTAAGTTATGATCAAAGCTATAATCTCATATTAGATCTTTAAGAAAAAATCGAGAAAAGTTCCATTTAAGATTTCCTGTTTTGTATTTATGGATCCGAACTCAGGTACTCCCACTGTGCCTTGTTTGAAAGGCTGATATGCAGGGTGTGGGCCTCCTCCCTTATTTAGATGCTGAACCTAGCTCCAGGGGAAAAAAGGTATCTCAGCTTCTATGGGCAATTCAATTTTAATCATTTTTGCTATATTGGAATTTTCATAGGAGTCCAGGTACAAGAGATTCAGAATTAATCTAAGTCATAAACAAAGCAAAAAAAAAAAAAAAAAAAGAAGAGGAATGGAGTGAATAATAATTCAACACCTACAAGGCCTGGTTCCTTTTTCATATAATATGCACTGTGGTGGGGGAGAGAGGAAGGGACCCGAGTGCTGTTTGGAATCAAGCCCCTCAACATCAGAAGCATGTCTGAAGTTTACCTAAAACACTGGCATCTGTGACTCCCACAGCCAGCTTTTCTCCAGGGTTTCAGAATGTTCCCTGCCTCCTAACAAACTGAGGGAAGCAGCTGTGATGGAAAGAGAGGTGACAGCAAACAGAAGTCTGGAAGCCCCTAGAGAGAGACACAGCTTGACCGTGGAACTGAAATACAGACTCCAAAAGACTAGCATTTACTGCAGACTGAGCCTTGTATGGCTTGTCTGCAAATAATCCTCTGCCTGTGCAGCTCATGTGGCACAGCCTGACAGAAAATCCCAGGGAGAATAAGGATAATATCCAATGTGCCCTGTGCTATAGGAATCCATCAACACCATGATGATAATATTAATAAAACCAGTGAGGCATCCACTCCAGTAAAGTCCTGAATCGTAAATAATATAGGTCATTTTCCAGCTTGAAGTTTTCTTTATCAACCAAAGCAACACCCAAAAAAGTACACACAAAATACTAGGAAAGAAGTATTAACCCAAAAGAAGGTGGTAAAAGAGAAACGGAAGAACAAAGAATGGAGGATACAAATAGAAAATAAAAGCCAAGATAGACTTAAACCTGACCATATCCATAATTACATTAAATATAAATGGCCTAAACGCTCCAGGTGCAAGGCACAGATTGACAAATTAAACAAAAAAAAAACAAGATTAACTATATGCTGTCTATAAGAAACATAGTTTAAATACACAACACATACAGATTAAACTATAAAAGGTGAGAAACACTTTAGATACTGTGCAAACACTAAGTGTCAGAGAGCTGGTTTGGCATGAATAATATCAGACAAAATCAACCTCTAGACAAAGAGCATTACTAGGGGTAAAAATGGTCATTTAATAATAATAAAGTGTCAATTTATAAACAAGACAAAATAACCCTAAAAATGTATGCTGTATCTATTAACACAGCTTCAAAATATATGATGCAATAATTGAAAGACAAATTCATCAACTGCACTGTAAGACTTTTAACATTCCATTCTAAGTAACTGTTAAAGCAACCAGAAAAAATTAGTAGGCATGTATTAAATTTGAATGACACAATCAACCAACTTGACCTACTTGATATTTATAGTATGACAGACCCAAAAACCACAGAATACACATTCTTTTCAAGTGCTTATGGAACATTCATTAAGATAGACCATATGCTGCTGCTCCATAAAGCTAGTCTCATTAAACTTAGAAAATACTGAAATCAAAAACATGATTTCTCTGACAATAGTATTTAATTTAAAATCACTAAAAATAAGTTATCTCGAAAATTACCAAATATTTAGCAATTAAATAAGTCACTTCTAAATGCCCAAAGACTAAAATATGAGGGAAATTAGAAAATACTTTGAACTGTATGATAACCAAAAAACAATATATAGAAATTTGTGATACATAGATAAACCAACACTAGCCTGGATGTTTACTACATTAAATGCCTATATTAAAAAATAAGAAAGCTATAAAATGAATGATCTAAACTGGAACTTAAAGAAGCTAAAGAGGAGCAAATGAAGCTTAAAGTAATTATAAGAAAGAAAATAAAAGTAAGAGAGAAATCAGTGAAATAAAAAACATGAATAGGGAAAATCAACAAAAGTTGGTTTCTTAATGAATAAAATCAATAAACACTCTATTAGCTATCTATTGCTGTACAACAAATTACCCTAAAACTTAGTGACTTAAAACAGCAAACATTTGTTGTCTCACAGTTTCTATAGGGTTTCATCTAGGTAGCTGTAACATGTGGTTCTTTTATAAGACTGCAATCAAGGTGTCAGCCAGGGCTGCAGTTAACTCAAGGATTTACTAAGGAGATGGAGCTTTGTAACCAAGTTCACTTTTTTATTTTATTTTATTTTATTTTTGAGACGGAGTTTCACTCTGGCACCCAGGCTGGAGTGCAGTAGTGCAATCTCAGCTCACTGCAAGCTCTGCCTCCCGGGTTCACGCCATTCTCCTGCCTCAGCCTCCCAAGTAGCTGGGACTACAGGCACCCACCACCACGCCTGGCTAATTTTTTGTATTTTTAGTAGAGACAGGTTTTTACCATGTTAGCCAGGATGGTCTTGATCTCCTGAACTCGTGATCTGCCCACCTTGGCCTCCCAAAGTGCTGGGATTACAGGCATGAGCCACTGCGCCCGGCCCCAAGCTCACTTATATAACTGTTGGAAGTCTGTAAACACGTGCAGGCTATTGCACTGAGGGCCTCAGTGGCTGCTGGCTGCAGGCTTCCCTCAATTCCTTGCCATGTGAACTTCTCCATGATGGTAGCTGGCTTCCATTAGAACAAGCAAGTAGGAAAGCAAGAAAGGACAAAGAAGATGGAAGCAAGGATCTTTCTGTAAACTGGTCTCGAAAGTAACATCCCATCACTTTCTCTATGTTCTATTCATTAGAATTGAGTCACCAGGTTTAGTTCAAACATGAAAGGAGGAGATTACACAAGGATGTGGATAACAAGAGGCAGAGGCTATTGGAAGCCACTTTGAGGGCTGTCTACCAAAAATAAACCTAGAAAGAATGATCAGGACAGAGAGACAGAGAGAGAGACAGAGGGAGGGAGAGAGTGAGGGAAGGAGGGAGGGAGAGAGTGAGGGAAGGAGGGAGGGAGAGAGAGAAAGAGAGAAAGAGAGAGAGAGAGACTGAGATTCAGAGAGAGAGACAGAGACAGACAGAAAGAAACACACAAATTACTAATATCAGCAATTAAAGAGAGGACATCACTACAGACACTAAAAGAATAATAAAATAGACAAAATGAACATTTTGCTTTTGAAAAATCTTGTTTTTCAAAACTGTCATTCATTTTGTGAATAAATTCAACAACCTAGATGAAATGAACAAAGTACCACAAAGTACCAAAATCAAAAAAAGCAACTAGAAAATATGAAAAGTTTTACAGTTATCATATAAATTGAATTCATAAGTGAACATTTTCCCACAAAGAAAAGCCAAGTCCCAGACGTCTTCACTGGCAAATTTCATCAAATCTTTAAAAAATAAGTAATAAAAATATTACTTAAATTCTTTCAGAAAATAATAGAGATGAGAACACTTTTCTTTTTATTATTATTATTTCAATAGGTTTTTGGGGAATGGGTGGTGATTGGTATATATTTAATGTATATATTTTTTAAATCACATAGAACACACAATTTCACGAATAAATTCATTAGTGGTGATTTCTGAGATTTTGATGCACCCATTACCCAAGCACTGTACACTGTACCCGTATGTAGTCTTTATCCCTCACTCGCTCCCAACTTTTTTCCAGAGTCCCCAAAAATCCATTGTATCATTGTTATGCCCTTGTGTCCTGAGATGGGGATATTTTCAACCCATTTTTAAGGCTGGCATACATGCATACAAAAAAAAAAAAACCATCAATATCATTCATGAAAGTTGATGCAAAAATCTTTAATAAAATATTTGTAAATCGAACATAGCAATCCATTAAAAGGATAACACAACACAACCAAATGAGATTTATCTCAGGAATGTAAGACTGGTTCATCATTCAAAAAGCAGTTAGAGTAACTCAACATGCTAAGAGAAAAAAAGGGAAGAAAAAAAAATCATACGATTTTCTCAATATATGCCAAAAAAAGCATTTGACAAAATGTAACACTCATTCATGATTTTTATAAAAACCCTGAGGAAACTAGAAATAAAAGGAAACTTCCTCAGTGGGATCAACTGCATCTACTAGGAAAAAAAAAAAAAAAAAAAAACCTACAGCTAACATCATATTTAGCAGTAAAACAATGAATGTTTTCCCCTTACGATCAGGAATAAGACAAGGATGTCCATTACCCCCACTTGTATCCACAATTTTACTAGAATTCCTAGTTAGTTCAATAGGGGAAAAAAATTTAAACATGCATAAAAATAACAAGGAAAAGAAGAAAAGATATCATTATTTGCAAATGACAGGATTGTATACATCAGAAAGGCCCATGAAATCCACAAAAAGCTCACCAAATTGAGTTAGAAATATTTCTAGATACAAAGTCAACATAGAAAACTCAGTGACTGAAATGGCTGTCATCAAAAATAACGGTAAGGGCAGACGTTGGTGAGAATGTGAAGCAACTGGAACTTTTATAGGCGGCTTGTGAGACTGGTGAAACCACTTCGGAAAACGGTTTTTTTTTTTTTTGTTTTTTTGTTTTTGTTTTTGTTTTTTTACATACAGCATGTCTTTTTATTTTTATTACTCAAAATGTTTCATTATTTTTATTTAGCTTTCTGACTCTGTGCTTGTGCCTTCAACACTTTCACAACGATTTTCTACTACTCGATAAGGAAAGCACGCTTGATCCTGTCACGAACACATTTAGCACACATGGAATCACCATAGACCCTGCTGACATGTTTCTTTGTTTTGGACAATCTCATAAGAACTTTAGGTCTTACAGCACGAACCCCTCGAAGTCTGCCTGGGCACACACCACATGCAGATTTTGGTGCTTTCCCAACCTTCTTGGTGTAAAGGTAAACAATTCTATTACCAGGAGTTCGGGACAGCCTAGTTTTGTTAGAGGCTGTATTGTAGGAAAGCCTATGTCGGTATGTCACAGGCTGGACCATTCTGAGTGCCTGCAGACAACGTCCCCAGAAGAGCTGGAAAACGGTTTAACAGTTTCTCATAAAGTGAAACACACAGCTACCCTATGACTCAGCAATTCTACTCCGAGTATGTACCTAAGAGAATGAGAATACATTCACACACAGTTTGGTAAATATTTAGTCACAGAAGTTTTATTCATAATAAGCAAAAACTGGAAACAAATGCCCATTGACTGGTAGATAAATAACAAATAATGAAGTATGCATTCAATGGACTGCCACTTATCAACTAAATGTGAAAAAAAAAAAAAGAGAACCACTGATACACATAGTATGGATTGATTTCTAAAACTTTTTTTTTTTTTTTTTTAGCAAAAACAAGGCCAGGCATAAAGGAGTGCACACCATATGATTCCATTTAAATGAAGCCCAAGAACTGGCAAATTTAATTTACTGTGATGGAAATTGTTAGAATAGTAGTTGCCCCTAGAAGTCTACAGGGTTGTATGACAGGGCTACAAAAGAATTTTCCAGGGCCATAGAAACATTCTAAATTTTGTTTGGCATGATGGTTGTGTGGGTGTATGCAAGTCAAAACCTATCAAATTGAATGCTTAAGATCTGTGCATTTTAATGTATATATTTTTTAAATCACATAGAACACACAATTCCAGCTATCTCAAACTCAGTCCTGTCTCCACTCTGCAAAACACTGAATTTCTCAACATTCTCAGTATCATTTTTATTGCTTTTTTTCTGCCTCTTTTCCTTTGTTTCTCCCAACAAGCCAACCTCTAGCATTCCAGGTAGTCTTCATGAATGTTTCCAGCCAAGTTGTGAAGAACCAAACTCTACATAGAAGAGAAGTGAAATGAAAAAAAGGAGAGGAGATGAGAGGAGAGGAGAGGAGAGGAGAGGAAAAGAGAGGAGAGGAGAGGAGAGGGGAGGGGAGGGGCAGGGGAGGGGGAGGGAGAGGAAGAGGAGAGGGGGGAGGGGAGGGGGGGAGGAGAGGGGAGGGGCAGGGGAGGCGGAGATGTTTAGTTTGGAGTGCTCTAGAAATCAAAACGCCATCATTCTTAGACTTATTTACACCAACACTCTCCCAAGATTTAATCTTACTATTCCTTCAAAATTTAATAGTCTCTTGTTACAACTCTCACTACAGAAGTTACAAACCAACTGCCTACAATGTATTTTGTTTGAACCGCAAGTTATTCTTTATTTGATCTAACATGTAATAATTAGAAAATTTCACATAAAAATCCAAACTTCCAAATTTTCTTAAACCATCAGTAGATCTAGCAATCATCAATGGGTGCTTAAGTGTGGCTGCCTTTTGTGGAAAGGGCAGCTTATCACGTCTTTTACCTAAATACATTTCTTTCCAAAGGACTCACTGTTTACTGCTATGACTACAAAAAGTTAATTCAATGGAAAAATAACATTGTATTCAATTCTAGCTTGACACTGTTGCCTACAAAAGTGTCTGGGCTACACCTTGCTTTCTATGTTTAAAAGGGAGAGTACAAGTTTAGACTTGGCCTCAAGTCTAAACTCCTTCATTGAAGAAACAGCCTATGGGATGGGAGAAAATATTTGCAAACCATACATCTGATAAGGCTAGAATATATACAAGGAACTCCAAAACATATAAGGAACTCAAACAACTCAACAGTAAGAAAACAACTCAAAAAATGGGCAAAAGATCTAAGTAGACATTTCTAAAAGACATAAAAATGACCAACAGGTGATATGAAAACTGCTTAAAATTACTAATTATCAAGGAATTGTAAATTAAATCCACAATGATGTATTACCTGACACCTATTAGAATGACTATGATAGGCTGGGCGCGGTGGCTCAAGCCTGTAATCCCAGCACTTTGGGAGGCCGAGATGGGCGGATCACGAGGTCAGGAGATCGAGACCATCCTGGCTAACACGGTGAAACCCCGTCTCTACCAAAAAATACAAAAAATTAGCCGTGCGTGGTGGCGGGCACCTGTAGTCCCAGCTACTCGGGAGGCTGAGGCAGGAGAATGGCGTGAACCCGGGAGGCAGAGCTTGCAGTGAGCCGAGATCCAGCCACTGCACTCCAGCCTGGGAGACAGAGCAAGACTCCATCTCAAAAAAAAAAAAAAATGACTATGCTAAGAAAGATGAAAGGTAACAAGTGCCGGTGAGAATGCAAGAGAATGCCTGCATGCTATCTTGGGAATGTAAATTAGTACAGCCATTATGGGAAACAGTACAGAGATTCCTAAAAAAATTAAGAGTAGAATTGCCATAGGATCCAGCAGTCACACATCTGGGTATATATCCAAAGGAGCTGAAGTCAGTCTGTTGAAGAGATATCTGCACTCCTGTGCTCACTACACAATAGCCAATACACAGCAGTAACCTAAGTGCCCATCAAAAGATGAACAGATAAGGAATATATATACAATGGAAGACCATTCAGCCTTTAAAAAGAAGAAAATCTTGTCATTTGCAACAACATGGATGAACCTGGAGGACATTATGAAAAGCAAACTAAGCCAAACTCAGAAAGACAAACCACCACATGATCTCAAATATATGTGGAATCTAAAAGAGTTGGCCAGGCACGGTGGCTCATGCCTGTAATCCCAGCACATTGGGAGGCCGAGACGGGCAGATCACGAGGTCGGGAGTTCAAGACCAGCCTGACCAACATGATGAAACCTCGTCTCTACTAAAAATACAAAAATTAGCTGGGTGTGGTGGCGCATGCCTGTAATCCCAGCTACTCAGGAGGCTGAGACAGGAGAATGACTTGAACCCAGGAGGCAGAGGTTGCAGTGAGCCAAGATTACACCACTGTACTCCAGTCTGGGTGACAGAGCGAGATTCCATCTCAAAAAAAAAAAAAAAAAAAAAAAAATTAACTCAGAGAAGAAAGAAAGAAAGAAAGAAAGAAGAGAAAGAAAGAAAGAAAGAAAGAAAGAAAGAAAGAAAGAAAGAGAGAGAGAGAGAGAGAGAGAGAGAGAGAGAGAGAGAGAGAAAGAAAGAAAGAAAGAAAGAAAGAAAGAAAGAAAGAAAGAAAGAAAGAAAGAAAGAAAGAAAGAAAGAAAGAAAGAAAGAAAGAAAGGTGGTTGGCAGGAGCAGCAGGAGGGGAAAAGAGGTTGGTCAAATAATACAAAATGTCAGAAAGGAGAAATATGTTCAAGAGTTCTATTATAAAAACAACTTTTTAATTAAAAAATAAATTCCTCTATTGAACTGTGAGCTCAGTGAGAACCAAGGATTTGTCTCGTTGATTTTTCCAGATCCCTGGAACTAAGCACAGTATCTGGCCCAGAGCATTCATACACTTTTCAATTAAAAAGATTCAACAGGTTCTGGGGATGTAAACATCTCCCAAGTGGGAAATTTGAAGGCAGTGAGGATGCAGACTTACAGGACAGAATGGGAAGCTGTCTCCTGCTGTTCTAGCAAAGAATCCTAAATGAGGAAGAGACCAAGTCCTGAGAGGCCACCAGAAACACAGTCCCTCAAAGATGCATCTAATACAGATGGAGATGCTGCTTTTTATAAAATGCTACCCCCAATCTGAATGTCCAGCTAGCTTAGTGCATGCTTCAGACAAGTCAGATTGGAAAAAAGATTCAGGGCTCAAGATTACATCTCCAAGACTGGATGAAGAGGACATCCGTGAGATCAACACAGGAGAAGCTCACGGGGAACCCAGGGGCAATGGAGGGAGACGCCTTTCACAGGCAGGAGACCAATGACCAGTGTTGACCTGATGATATTAACAATGGTAGTAATAATAAAGAACAGAGAAGTTAATATTTATGAGGTCCTTACTCTCTGATAAGTGGTATTCATGCATCCTCTCATTTAATATGCACTACAGTCCTGGAGGTAAGAAGCATAATTATCCCATTCTATGTAGAGAAAACTATGGCAACCAGATGCCTCCCATCCTGGTACTGATACCCTTGTATAACCCCCTCCCTGTGAACGTGGGTGGGACCTAGGACTTTCTTATAACCAAGAGAATATGCCAGAGGTGATGGGATGTAGTGATTATGTTAGATAGGATGTTGTCTTGCTAAGAAGCTGTCTGTCTTGCTGGCTTTGAAGATGCAAGTTGCCATGTCATGAGCGGCCAGATGGAGAGGCCCATGTGGCAAGAAGCTGAGAGCAGCAAGAAACTGGGGCCCTGAGTCCAGCAGCCTGCAAGGAACTGAATGCTGCCAACAACCAGATGAGCCTGGAAGCAGATCCATCACCGGTCAAGCCTCCGGATGAGAACCGAGCCCTGGCTGACACTATGGCTGTAGCCCTGCACTGAACCCAGCAAAGTGACGCCTGGATTCCTGACCCACAGAAATCGTGCAGTGGTAACTGTGTGCTGTCTCGAGTCACAGAGTTTGCAGCAATATTGTTACACAGCAATAGATAACAAATATAGAAACTGTTTTACATCATGTACATTACTAAGGGAAATGTAGAACTTGGATTTGAGCTCTGATTTCAGAGTTGTGGTCTTAGTCTCCCCAGGGGGACCTGTTCTGGGAGACAGTTATGCCAAGCTGTGATGCTGTGATGATTGTTCTCTTCCTACCCAGAAGCTTTCAATATGTACATCAAGCATGTGACCCCAACTACACATACCAAATGTATTTCTGACAAATGCCAGGACATCGTGAGCTCTCTTGTTTTACTGAGAGCTCCATAAAGGAAGGACCATCTCTGTCTTTTTTTTTTTTTTTTAAGAGTCTCACTCTGTCACCCAGGCTGGAGTGCAGTGATGCAATCTCAGTTCACTGCAGTCTCTGTCTCCTGGGCTCAAGGGATTCTCCAGCTTCAGCCTCCTGAGTAGCTGGGATCGAAGGTGTGCATCACCACACCCAGCTAATTACGTATTTTTGGTAGAGATGGGGTTTCGTCATGGTGGCCAGGCAGATCTTGAACTCCTGGCCTCAAGTGATCTGCCTACCTCGGCCTCCCAAAGTGCTGGGATTACAGGCATGAGCTACTGCAGCTGGCCTGTCTTCTTTATGCTATGTCCACATGCAACAGCCCAGTGGTCAGCACACAAAGGGGTCCAAACACGAAAGGAGAGGGCAAACAAGGGGAAACCTAGGGGTGTTCAGAAATAGTTCCCAGGTCACTGCCTGTTTAAATATGTACAGTCCTGGGCCCCACCCACAAGATTCTGACTTGGCAGGTGAGAGTTGGAGATGGGGAGCTACTTGGTTAAGAGGGATCCCAGTGCATTTTGAGGCAGCTGGTTGTTAGACTGTATTGAAAAAATTACCCCCCAAAGACGTGAAGGGAAACAGAAAGGCACAGGCATGCTAGAGGCTAGAAAAGAACACAAGTAAAACACGAGCAAGTTCATTCCAAAAGGAGATTCTCAACCACAGCTGCACGTCAGAATCAGCTGGGGAGATCTGAAAACCCCAGTGCCCAGGCTCTGCATCCCAGATCAATTATTACAGAATCTCTGAGGGATGAAACATGGGCATGAGTATTTTTTGTTTTTGTTTTGTTTTTTGTTTTTGAGACGGAGTCTTGTTCTGTCACCCAGGCTGGAGTGCAGTGGTGCAATCTCAGCTCAGCAACCTCTGCCTCGCAAGTTCAGGCCATTTTCCTGCCTCACCCTCCCAAGTAGCTGGGATTACAGGCATGCACCACCACGCCTGGCTAATTTTTGTATTTTTAATAGAGACAGGTTTTCACCATGTTGGCCAGGCAAGTCTCGAACTCCTGGCCTCAAGTGATCCGCCCACCTTGGCCTCCCAAAGTGCTGGGATTACAGGCATGAGCCATTGCTCCTGGCAGTATTTGTTTAATGAGGCCAAATGCACATAACATACAAGTCCCTGTGTGAAAGCATAGACTTCAGGGTCATTAAATACATTCACAATGTTAAGCAATCATCTCTGTCCAGTTCCAAAACATTTTCATTAACACCTCCCCCCCGTAAAAAAAATAACCCTGTACCTGTCAAGCACTCTCCATCCCTTCCCCTTTCCCCCAGGTCCTGGCAACAACTTACCTGCCTTCTGCCTCTATAGATTTGCCTATTCTGGACATTTCACATAAATGGAATTATATAATATATATAATAACCAAAAGGTGGCAACAACCGAAATGGCCATTTGGTTGAAGAATAAATAAACAAAATGTGCTGTATCCATACAATGGAAGTATTGGTGCATACTACAACGTGGATGGACCTTGAAAACATCATGCTAAGTGAGAGAGAGCCTTGGTACTGTCTAATCTCCCCAGGAGATTTCAAGGTGCAGCCAAGGTTGAGACCCACTGACAAGCAATGGTTATGGTTGGGTGCAGATGAAATAAGGCAGCCAGGGGCAGGAGGGACATCTCATTGAAGATGACAATTTGTGGATGCCTAGCAGGGGTGGGGATGAGGTGTGGTAACAGCAACTCCAATCTCCATACAGTGTGACTGATTTTATCTTCAACCAGCTGATACGCTTCATGGGGTTTGGACACAGGACACCTCTGCCTCCCAGGTTCAAGCGGTAAGTCCTGCCTCAGCCTACCAAGTAGCTGGGATTACAGGCGTGCACCACCACACCTGGCTAATGTCTATATTTTTAGTAGAAACGGGGTCTCATCATGTTGCCCAGGGTCTCGAACTCCTGGCCTCAAATGATCCACCCACCTCAGCCTCCCAAAGTACTGGGATTACAGGCGTGAGCAATAGTGCCCAGTCTCCAAATTCTATATGAAGTTTGACTTTCCACCTCCAGAAAATCCAAAGCTTAGCCCAAGTCACAGTGGGACACCCCAGAGTTACTTTGAGAGAAACATGCTTTTAAAAACAACTCCAGGCCAGGTGCAGCAGCTCACGCCTGTAATCCCAACACTGTGGGAGGCCAAGGTGGGCAGATCATGAGATCAGGAGATCAAGACCATCCTGGCCAACATGGTGAAACCCCGTCTCTACTAAAAATACAAAAATTAGCTGGGCATGGTGGGTGTGCACCTGTAAACCCAGCTACTTGGGAGGGTGAGGTACGAGAACTGCTTGAACCAGGGAGTCAGAGGTTACAGTGAGCCGAGATCACGTCACTGCACTCCAGCCTGGGCAACAGAGAGAGATTCCGTCTCAAAAAAAACAAACCTCCAACATGAACACCAAATGAGAAGCACTCATTGACCTCCCTCTACCAATCAGGGGGAGTGGTGGTGACGGTGCATGAGCGTCTACTTGCATTGAGTCTTAATGGAAAATAACGTTGTGTCACTCAAAGGAAAAACAAATCACAGTCCAGGCCGGAGCTGTGGATTAATAATATGGCTGAGTGTGGGTACAGGCTTTCTGCAGCAATATTAAAACTGAGAAAATCAGCAGTGAAGCTCCAGCCACATTTCTGGCAAACGATTTGGGGGGAAACAACAGAGGCCCTGCTCAACTTTTCCTTCGCTGCACAAAGCGGGTTTGGCTGGAAATGCCAAAAGTGCTTGTTGCTGGGATCTTTCAAAGCAAGCGAGCTGGGAGTCCACCTCCCGCAGCCGCAGGCCAGAAATGGGTTGAGACCAAACTATTATAGTAACACTGGTACACATCTAAATAGATTTAACTCCCTCACAGCAATCCAGATTAATTTAATATGCTTTCTTAATGGCATTCCGCATTTCTCATTAAAGCAAATGAACGTCCATCCCTCTGTGATAAATCAGGGCAAAAAAAATGCGTATGTTTAGGGCATAGAGAAAGAAGAGTTCTTGGCTGTTAAAAAAAAAAAAAAAAAAAAAAAAAGGCACTACAAATGGCCTTTCAAAGTCTACACATCTTCATCATAAACACAAACATTCCTCCTCACAAAGGGACCTCAAGTAACCTGCAGTACGTTTTTCTTCTCATTCTTTCTTACCATCCCTCCAGCCCACCCAGCCCACATTCAGTGACCAGGTCATGTGGGTTTTACCTCCTCAATCTTTCCCAAATCCATTCACTGCTCAGCCACTCTCCTGACACCACCATAAACCAAGCCACCACCACCTCCAGCTGTTTGACTGCAAATGCCTCCTGACTGGCCTCTCTGTTCTACCCTGGCCCTGTGACAATCTGCACTCCTTACAGGGACCAAAACAGTCACTTCAGAAGCTGCCTCCAAACAGATCACTCACTTTCAATGGCACCCACGGCTCTATGGGCTCAAAACGAAAAAGCTCACCTTTACTGGGCACACACTATCTCAGTCCATCCCTGCATCAGCCCTTTATTTCACCAGTGGGGAAGCTGGTACACAGAGTAGCTATGACGGATGCCAAGGCGGGAGCACTCGTGAAAAGCTCCAACATCCTAACGTGAGACCCTGCATGACCCAGCCCTTCTCTTTCTCCAGCCTCATTTCCTGATTCTCTCGCTTGCCCTGCAGGCTCCAGTCACACAAACCTCTGGAAAGTCCCTTAAATCTGGCTGGGCGCACTGCCTCAAGCCTGTAATCCCAGCACTTTGGGAGCCCAAGGCGGGTGGATCACCTGGAGGTCAGGAGTTCGAGACCAGCCTGGCCAACATGGTGAAACCCCGTCTCTACTAAATACCCAAAAATAAGTCAGGCATGGTGGTGGGCACCTGTAATCCCAGTTTCTCAGGAGGCTGAGGCAGGAGAATCGCCTAAACCCAGGAGGCAGAGGTTGCAGGGAGCTGAGATCGCACCACTCCACTCCAGCCTAGACGTCAAGAGCAAAACTCCAACTCGAAAAAAAAAAAAGAAAGAAAAAAAATCCCTTAAATCTACTCTATGCCTTTTAACCTCAGGGACTTCGCTATGCTGTTCCTCACCCTGAACTGAGCTATTCCTCATTTCTCCATCTGGTTAACTCATCCCACCCACGAGGTTTCTCCTTAAGTATCATCTCTTTAAGGAAGATTTTACCTTTTTAATGTAACTATTAACACATAATTCAGGTACCATATGATTTGCCCACTGAAAGTGAACAAATCAATGGTTTCAGTGCATTCACAGAGCTCAGCAACCACCATCATGATCAATTTTAAAACATTTTCATTACCCCGAAAAGAAACCCTATATCCATTAGCAAGTACCTGCCATTTCCTCCTCCCACTAAGCCCTGGCAATCTACTTTTTTTGAGATAGAGTCTCTGTCACAGGCTGGAGTTCAGTGGCACAATCTTGGTTCACTACAACCTCCGCCTCCTGGGTTCAATCACTTCTCCTGCCTCAGCCTCCTAAGTAGCTAGGATTACAGGTGTGTGCCACCATGCCCAGCTAATTTTTGTATTTTTAGTAGAGACAGGATTTCTGTCTTCATAGATTTGCCTGTTCTGGACATTTCATATAAATGGAATCATATAACATATGACCTTTTGTGACTGGTTTCTTCCACTTAGTATAATATTCTCACGGTCCATCCATGTTGTAGCACGTGTTAGTACTTCATTCCTTTTGAGGACTGAATAATATTCCATTGCACGGTCAAGCCATGTTCTATTTCTCACTCATCAGTAGACAAACATTTGTGTTGTTTTCACTTTAGTGCTATTATGAATAATGCTGCTATGAGCATTTGCATACAAGTTTCTGCACAGACATGTATTTTCATTTCTTTCATAAAATGGAGTGGAAGTGCTGGGTCATAGAACTCTGTGTTTAACCATTTGAAGAAGTGCCAGACTGTGTGAGAAAGCCTCTCCTCACCCTGCGAGACTGAGCTCCCTCTCTCCATTCATACATTCCCTTCTTCACGCCCCTTGCTTCTATTTCCGAGCAATTCAGGTTGACCTGGGTCACCCGCAACTTAATGCTCGTAACTCCTCTAGACCCTCAGGGTCCATACTAAATATGATGAAAGATGATGCAAGCCACATATTTACTTTTGCATTTTGTAGTAACCACATTTTAAAAAGTAAAACAAAAGAAGTGAAGGTAATTGGAATAATATCACAGATTTAAACAAATCTATCCCAAATACCAGGTCTACATGTATAAAATATTTTTAACATGAACAAAATACTTTGCATTCTTTTTATATTAAGTCTTCACCATCTAATGTGTACTTGACGCTTCCCGCACATCTCAGTTTGTGCTCGTCATATTTCAAATGCTCAGTTGCCATATGTGGCCAATGCTGCTTTACTGGACAGTACAGGGCTAAACTGTCCACTCCCTGAGGGCAGGAACCATGCCTGCTTTTGCCCATTACTTTACTCTCAGTGCCAGTACAGTGTCTAGGATGCAAGAGGCATCCTGTGAATATTTGCTGAACCTAAATAAATGAATTCGCCCAAACCTCCACTTCTCCAAAAATAGTTTCAAAAATTCAGTGTTCAGCTGGGCACACTGATTCACACCCATAATCCCAGCACTTTAGTAGGCCAGGGCAGGAGGATAGCTTGAAGCCAGGAGTTCAAGACCAGCCTGAGCAACATAAAGAGATCCTGTCTCTACCAAAAAAAAAATTATTAAATTAGCTGGGTGTGGGGGCACACATCTGCATTCCTACCCACGGAAGGCTGAGATGGGAGGATCACTGAGTCCAGGGGTTCAAGGTTACAGAGAACTATGATAGCACCACCCGACACCAGCCTGCGTAACACAGTGAGACCCTGTCTCAAAAAAAAATCAGCATTCACATATATTCACCTATTCTTTTTCAGCAATTTAAATTTGTTAAGAAAAAGAAACAAGGAACAGAGTGACCAACAGCCTGCAGAGCAACATGCCCAAGTTTTATTGTGACTACTGCAATACATACCCCGCCCAGGACTCTCCATCTGTGAGACAGGCACATCGCAGTGGCAGGAAACACAAAGAGAATGTGGAAGACTGCTATCAGAAATGGATGGAAGAGTAGGCTCAGAGCCTGACGGACAGAACAACAGCTGCACTGCAACAAGGATACCTCCTACTCCATTCTCTGCTCCTCCTCGTGCAGCGACGAAGATACCACCTTCCCCCCAGTCTTCCAGGTCCTCCTAGCCCCGGTGTGGTGGCAGCACCCCATATGGAGGGCCCTCCCGTGAAGGCAAGGATGGGCCCTCCTCCTCCTGGGATGATGCCAGTGGGACCTGCTCCTGGAATGAGGCCCCCCATGGGAAGCCACATGCCCATGATGCCTAGGCCCCCAATGATGAGACCTCCTGCCTGTCCCATGATGGTGCCCACTCGGCCGGGAATGACTTGACCAGACAGATAAGGATAGAGAGGAGGCCTCACTATATCAGCTTTGTTTTTTTTCGTTGTTGTAATTGTTTGTTTGGGTTTTCGTTTTTTTGTTTGTTTGTTTGGTTGGTTTGTTTTTTTTTTTTTTTTTTTTTTTTGACACGGAGTCTTCGTCTGTCACCAGGCTCAAGTATAGTGGCGTGATCCCGACTCACTGCAACCTCCGCCTCCCTGGTTCAAGCGATTCTCTTGTGTCAGCCTCCCGAATAGCTGGGACTACAGGCACGCACCACCGCGCCCAACTAATTGTTTGTATTTTAGTAGACACAGGGTTTCACCATGTTGGCCATAATGGTCTCAATCTCCTGACCTTGTGACCCGCTTGCTTTGGCCTCCCAAAGTGCTGGGATTACAGGCGTGAGCCACCACGCCCGGCCTATGTGAGTTTTATATTACCTGTGCCCTTTCACCAGGAGATCATGCTGCTGTGATGCTGGGTTTTCTTAACAGCATAAGGAAGACTTGCCCCCTTTCCCTATCAAAGACAATCGTTTTGCGGGGGAGAAGTGGGACAAAGAAAGATGCAGTTTTCATTTGTATTGGGAAATGTGAAAATAAAATTGTCAACTCTTTTACTTAAAAAGAAAAAAAAGAAAAGGAAACAAGATGTGGGGCTGCCATATGCAACACCGTGGATTACAAAGATCTTCTATCTGAAGGCAAATATTATCTTTGCTGAAGCCAGACCAACCTAACACAAAGACCTTTTGTTTTCTTAATGTGACTGTGTTTTATTTTACAATGTGTAATTCCCTTTAGAAGGGCAGAGTACCTGTCTGGGGAAGACTATTTAATTTCCTGCATTTATTTAGAATGTTGGCTAATGTGATTACGAAGGGAAACAGCTCTAACAAGTGAGTGCCCCCTATATAGACACAGCTCATGAGTTCACGGGGCAAAGGAATTTAACAGCAGCCTCCTAATAGCCGGCCTTCTTTGTCATATGGAAATAATCGTCAGCATGTAAAAGACTATATATATTCAACAATTCTGACTCCCTGCAAAATTCAAATCTATGATTGATTTGCTTCCTGGGCTCCTAAAAACAACTTTGTCAAAATTGTTCAGAAATAAAATCAGCCAATCACTGACCCTTGGGGACGCAGGACAAAGCAAGTCAGCCATGGCCAATGTGGAGTCGGCCGTACACAATTACATGCAGACCTGCGGGACATCAAGTCCCTGCTAGGATCCCTCCCCAGTCAGACCCCCATTGCCTGGGCGGCAGCCAGAAGCATTCAGGCACAAGTGCATTCAACAAATACTTATTTAATGGTATTGGTGGTTAGAGGGCTGTGGTTGGTTAAGGTACACTAATGGATCCATGCTTTCCCTGTATCCAAGACTCTGCCATTGTCTCTGCACTTCCCCCCACTGAAGAATTGCAGTATATTTCTCCAGCCCCTAAGGTTGGGTTTAGTCAAGTGTCTAGCTTTGGCCAATGGAATATTAATTTGCATGTCCAAAAACTTGGAAAGTGTGCATTTACTCACTCCTGCTATCACCATGAGAACAAGCCCAGGCCAGCCTGCTGCTTCCAGCAGAAGGTAAGAGACACCAAGAGCAAAGTAGAGCTTCCCGCACATGCTCATGCTAGATTAAGCAATCCTCAGCTGACCCACAGATCCATGACAATAAATGATTGTTGTATTAAGCCACTGAGATTTGGAGTGACTTGTTATGCAGCTTCTTGTGACAACAACTGATACAAGGGTCGCCGTCCTTTATCTCTGTAGATTTTAACCAATATTTAATAGCTAGATGGAGATCTTCTAGTTGCCTTTATTTATAATGAATAAGACTATAGAGCTAGTTTGACCTGACACTATCAGTTACCTACTCAGAAATACTTTCTTCTCCAACCCGCCCCAACCAACTTTTTGTTGTTGTTGTTGTTGTTGTTATTGTTGTTTTGCAACAGGGTCTCACTCTTTGCCTAGGCTAGAGTACAAGTGGTACACTCAGAGCTCACTGTAAACTAAAATCCTGGCCTCAAGCAGTCCTCCTGCCTCACCTTCCCAAAATGCTAGGATTATAGGTATGAGCCACCACACCCAGCCTCTTCTTCCTTTTAAATAGAAACCCTATTTTATTCTCATAGTGGGTTTTTTTTTTTTTTTTTTAGAAAATGTTGGCCCAGCCCCGCGGAATAAATTGTGACTGGTCTAAACAGGGTTGGCAAACTATAGACCAAGGGCCAAATCTGGCCCTCTGACTATTTGTATAAATTAAGTTTTATTGGAATAAAACCAGGTCCATTCATTTATGCATTGTCTATGTATGCTTTTATGCTACAACAGCACCACTGGGTCACTGCAAAAGAGGTTATCTAGACCAAAAGCCTAAAATATTACCATTTACCTCTTTACAGAAAAAGTTAGCCATTCCCTAGTCCAAGGTTTAGATTCTGAGCTTATTATTTTAGCGTAACCCCCCTTGCCAGTGATTGGTTCAAAACAAGTCTGTGATTTCATTCTTACTGTTCTACTGAGGGAATTCCCCCTTCTTCTCATGCAAACCTGATGAGGGTAAGTTGTATTAATATGACATATGTTCAGGTTTTCTGAAAAATACTTTTTATCTAGAAATGCATAGGAATATGCTGGTACCTGAATGTACCATCTGGCGGCCTGGAGATTGACTCGCCCTGCCTCCAGAGCTCGTGCTCACACTCACTACTGAGAGGCTCAAGGAAATGCCTGCCCACCCACCACCAGTACCCGCACACATCACCTGGAGAACTAGACATCAGCCTGCCACACACACCACCCAGGAGCCCAATGGCGCACCTGCTTACCTGGCCCAGTGCTGCCACTGCCAGAAACCAAAGAAGCTACCTGGAGGACCAGAGATTGGCCCACGCAGACAGGCTATCATCAGTGCCCACGTACACTGCACATGGTCCCTAGTGTTGATACACCTGGTCCACCACCACCACCACTGATGCCAAAGGACAAGACTTCCTGGCATCCCCATCCTCAGCAAAGCCTCACCACAGCCTCCAATAACAGCTGCAGTCTGGCCAGGTGCGGTGGCTCACATCTGTAATCTCAGCACTTTGGGAGGCCAAGGTGGGCAGATCACGAGGTCAGGAGTTCAAGACCAGCCTGGCCAACATGGTGAAACCCCATCTCTACTAAAAATACAAAAATTAGCTGGGCGTGGTGGCACATGCCTGTAGTCCCAGCTACTCTGGAGCCTGAGGCAGGAGAATTGCTTGAACCCGGGAGGCAGAGGTTGCAGTGAGCTCAGATTGTGTCATTGCACTCCAGCCTGGTGACAGAGAGAGACTCCATCTCAACAACCACAATAAAAAAAAACTGCAGTCTAAGCCACTGAAAAACTCACAGACACCACTCATGCCAATTACAGCTGAAGAAATCATATGCAGACTATACTACTGTACCCACCCAGAATCAAAAGCCAAAGTATGATACCTAATGAACACTGTAGATACAGCTATAAGAAAAGGTCTTTCCCCTGTAAAAGTCAATCCATAGAATTGGAAGAAGTGACTGTTATGTCAGAGGCACACATAGTCACATAAGGACACAAGAAATACGAAAAAGGAAACATAACACCTCCAAACAAGCACAATAATTCTCCAGCAACATATTCCAATGAAAAGAAAATCTATGAAATGCCTGAAAAAATTCAGAATAATGATATTAAAGAAACTCAGGGAGATACAAGAGAACACAGATAATGAATACCAAAAAATCAGGAAAACAATTTATGATCTGAATGAGAAATTCAACAGAGATAGACAGCATAACAAAGAACCAAACACAAATACTGTAAGAGAAGAAATCATTGAAAGAAATGCAAAAGATAATTGACAGCTTTAACAACAGACTACATCAAGCAAAACAAAGAATTTCTGAACTTGAAGACTAGTCTTTTAAAATAATCCAGTCAGACAAAAAGAAAGAAAAAAGAATAAAGCAAGGCTACATAACATATGGGACACATGTGTGACCAAATACTGAAATTCTGGGAGTTCCGGATGGAGATGAGATGGGGAAAGGCATAGAAAACCTACTTAATAAAATAATAACTGAAAACTTCCTAAGTCTTGCAAATGATATAGATCCAAATACAGGAAGCTCAAAGATTTCCAAATAAATACAACCCAAAAAGGTCTTCTCCAAGGCACATTATGGTAAAACTGTCAAAAGACAAGGAGAAAATTATAAAAACAGCAAGAGAAAAGCATCGAATCACTCATAAGAGCATCTCCATCAGGCTAACAGGGGATTTCTCAGCAGAAACTTTATACGCTAGGAGAAAAGGGGATATACACTACAAGTTTAAAAAAAAAAAAAAAAAAAAAACGTTGTAAGCCAAAAATACTATACCCAGCAAAGCTATCCTTCAAAAATGAAGGAGCCTGGTACAGTGGCTCATGTCTGCAATTCCAGAGATTCAGAAGGCTGAGGCAGGAGGATCATTTGAGCCAAGGAGTTCAAGGCTGCAATGAACTATGATCATGCCACTGTACTCCAGTCTGGGTGACAGAGTGAGACTCCAATGCTTAAAAAAAAAAAGAAAAAAGAAAAAAGAAAAAAACATTTCCCAGAGAAGCAAAAGACTGTTTGTTTGTGTCTTGTTTGTTGTGGTCCTACGAGAAATGCTTAAGGGAGTCGTATGCTGGGAAGCAAAAGAACAATACCTACCATCGTGAAAATACATGAAAGTATAAAACTCACTGGTAGAGGAGACACACAAAGGAGAAAGGATTCAAACGTCACCACTAAAGAAAACTACCAAACTGCAACAATAAATAATGAGAGAAAAAAGCAACAAAGGTGTATTAGTCTGTTTTCATGCTGCTGATAAAGACATATCTGACTGAGACTGGGCAATTTACAAAGGAAAGAGGTTTAATGGACTTACAGTTCCACATGGCTGCGGAAGCCTCACAACCATGGTGGAAGGCAAGAAGAAGCAAGTCACATCTCACATGGATGGCAG